AAGATAAATGTTGCTTTTCTGAAATTTTGTTTATTTTTTTACTCTTTAAATATTCTTCAACTGCAGACAAGTAAAACAGTCAAGAGAAGCAGCTGAAAGCATCATCAGATTACCGAAAAAATGTCTGTAAAGTTCATTAAATCAGTTAAAAACAGGAACTTTCTTTAWTCAAAATGTCATTTTAAACATTAAATATTGTAGGTTAGGACATAAAAATGATTCTTTCAAATATTTTCTTTCTTAAAAGGTGACGATGTTTCTACAGTTTCTAGTTTTTATTCCTGAAGTTACACTGTAAAAATGTTCATCTTCAAGGATTTATTAATGTTTCTGTTTCCAGAACCGAGTGTTTGAAGCAGAAACACCTGAAAAGATGAAAAAAGTAAAATTAAATAAAATTTCATGAAGAAACGCCTCAGACATGAAAATCTGCAGGTCCTTTATAAAAACAGGAGAGATTGGCCCCTCCCCCAGCCTCTCCTGACCTTGTAGCTCCGCCTCCGTGGCAGGATGATTGACAGAGGYTGTAAATCCTCGTAAAGTGTCCTGACAGCGAGACGCTCAGTCTCAGCCGTAAACGTGAATCCTCCGTCCTCACGTAGACCTCAGCAGCTGGAGTCCTCGCTGGTCCCGCCTCCTCTGGATCTGGAGGCGGAGCCCACGGCGATCTGGCACCCGTTGGTGACGTGGCTCATCACCTTCTGTTTGAGCTGGGCCACCTGCTCCCGCAGCATGGCGGCGGTGGAGGCCAGGTCCGAGTTCTGGCTCTTCAGGACCTTGACCTTCTCCTCCAGGCGGGAGATGCGCTCCAGCTTCCTCTTGCGGCACTTGGACGCGGCGATGCGGTTGCGCAGCTTCTTGCGTTCGGCCTTGATCCGCTCCTGCGTCTCCAGGTCAATCGGGGAGAGGGAGGGCGGGGAGGTGGGGTCCCCCCCCGACGGGTGGGGCACCTCCGGGACCGTCTGAGGGGCGTCCAGGCCTCGGGGGTGGGACTGCGGAGCGACCCCCCCGCCGTACGCCATCTGCCCGGCGGAGTACGGGTGCTGGGCGGGGCCGTAGCTGCTCAGGTTGGTGTAGACCGGCATGTCTCCGGCGGACATCAGGTTCCTCTGGTAGGAGACGCCAGAGGACGAGGACGGGGACATGGGTCCCACCAGCTGGTTCTGCTTGTGGAGGTCTGCYAGAGCTTTGACGAAGCCGTCGGCGAAGCCCTCCTGCTCGTTGGTGGCCTGGTTGCGGTAGATGAAGGGGTTGCTGGAGCCGGACACGGGACTGGTGGTCACCAGACCCTGGTTGGACTGGATGATCAGGTGCTCCAGGTCCGGAGAGCCCAGCTTCAGCAGGTTCATGTCTCCTGACGAAGACATCAGGGAGCTGTTCCCGGCCAGCGGCAGGCTGTTGGGGTTCCCGCTCCGCCCCCCTGTCGGGTTCCCACCGGCGAGGAAGTGGTGACTTCCTGTCACCGACATGGCCTTCTTGCTCATCAGCATCTTGGTTCCCGGGTAACGCTCAAACTCCGCCCCCTGGCTGAAGCCGGGGACGGCCGGGGCGTCATCGTGGTAGAATGGAGTCTCCATCTTGGCCGTCATGGACAGAGACGCCTCAGGAGAACATCCTAATCAGATTAACCTGAACGCCGGGCGGGATTGAGACGCTCCACTGACGTCTGCAGGGAGGGATGAAGAGGAGGAGGAGGAGGAGGAGGAGGAGGAGGTGGAGAGCTCGCTGCAGGAAAAACAGATTTACAGATTAATGTTCATAAATTATATCAAACTGTTTAAGATTAAAACATCCTGAACTCAACTAAAACCTTCACYATAAAAATAAAGTTTATTATTCTAAACTAATCCCTGGATGAACCCCCATAACCTGATTCAAGATGGCCGACACAGCTAATACAACACAGCTAAAATATAATGTTAGAGTAGCTGAAGGTCGACCCCAACACTCTTAGCTGACCTTTAGTTGTTACCTAGCTTCTGGTTACTTTTGGTATTTAGCCGTCATTTAGCTAATTTTAGCTAACTTTTGATTACARTAGTCTAGCTAGCTATTTTCCTTGTTTAGCATTTAGCTACATTTAACAAACACTACRATAGGGTTAAGCTAATTATTYGCTACTTATAGCATTTAGCTACTTTTAGCTATTTTTGACAACAATATGGTTTAGCTAGATATTCACTACTTTTAGAATTTAGCTAACATTTAGCTACTTTTAGCTAGCTTTTTGCTACATTTTGTTATTTTAGATAGATTTTTGTTACCATGTAAATAGTAGCAAAAAAGTAACTGAATACAATGGCTAATTAAAAGTAGCTTTTAGCTAGCATTTAGCCACTTTTAGATAGCTTTTGACTGCAATACGGGTAAGCTAGTGTTTTGTTACTTTTGCTTTTTAACTACGATTAAGCTACTTTTAGCAGGTTTTTGCTACATTTTGTGTTTAGCTGGCTTTTTGCTACCTCCGGCTTTCGGTTATAATTTAGTTAGCTTTTTGCTGCATTTGCTAATTTAGCTAGCTTTTGTTAACAAGTAAAACTAGCAGAATACAATGGCTAAATAAAAGTAGCTTTTAGCTAGCATTTAGCCATTTTTAGATAGCTTTTGACTACAATACAGTTAAGCTAGCTTTTTGTTACTTTCTATTGTTTAGCTACTTTTAGCAAGCTTTTTACTACATTTTGTGTTTAGCTAGCTTTTTGCTACCTTCGGCTTTCAGTTATAATTCAGTTAGCTTTTTGCTACATTTGCTGATTTAGATAGCATTTTGTTAACAAGTAAATGGCAGCTAAAAGCTAACCAAATACAAAGGCTAATTAAAGTAACTAAATGGCAGCTAAAAGACATGAGAAAAAAAGTGTCTGCTAAAAGAAAGCAGCCAAAGGTTAGCTGAAAGTTGCTAAATGGCAGCTAAAAGCTAAAAAATAAAATAAAAAAATAAAAAAAAGGCTGGTTAAAAAAATGTAGGAAATGGTAGCCGAAAGGAGCTAAATACTATTTTAATCTAGCAAAAAGGTAGCTAGGAACTAAAATAGCCAAAGTTGAATTAAAATATTTATTTTATTAATGATTATCTAATCAGGCAAACTGATCTCTTTTGAAGGGAGGTCTGGTAGTTTATACTTTACACAGTATATTTATAATATATTTTTTTTTTTCCAGGAGCAAAACACTGGCAGTAAGTAGCTGAAGTAGCTAAATGGTAGGTAAAAACTAAAAGCAGCCAAACTTCAGACTGATTTTAATTTTGGTCTCTTCTACCTTCGGCTCGTCTGTTTGTTTTTCCTCCATGACATGTTTCTCAGCCGAACACACAGCTAAATAAAATAAAAGCTAAACGTCCTTCTCTCTGCTTGTTCTGTTCTCGTCTCAGTTTGTAAAAGTTGGAAAGCTTTACTCTAAATGAGGAGTGGGTGTAACACAAAACAACACAAGAAACAAAAATATTTACCAAAAAACACAAAGACAAGACAGATTTATAAATGTAAACACATCAGCTGACTGATAAAACATGACTTTTTATTAAAACTGATCACACTCAGCAGGTAATAATCAGGATTTTAATTTAAATTGAAATAATTGATCCTTTCCTCAGCGCCCTCTGGTGGACACACCCTCCTGTTTTACACCGTTTTCAACTGTTTTACACAAAAACACCGATAAAATCACTAATATCTCACAATAATTCACTTCTACACGTTATTTAACTGGAAAATTTTAATTATTGTTTATTTTAGTTCACCTTTAGTGTGTGAGAGGAATTTAAAAGTGTAAAATCAGCCTTTTTTTAACCCAAAATCACCGCTTACACGTTACAGAACTTGATTTCAGTCTATAATAATAATAATAATAATAATAATAATAATAGTAAATACTGACATTACTGTGTGGATCTGTCTGCCTCCGCTCCGGTTCAAACTGCGTCAAGTTCCCGGTGCTGCCCCGAACTTCAGCCCGGGAGAAGAGGCACCATCCCCCGGTCTAACCCGCTGAGACACACCGAGAGAGAGGCACCATCCCCCGGACTAACCCGCTGAGACACACCGAGAGAGAGGCACCATCCCCCGGACTAACCCGCTGAGACTCCGCGGCTCAGAGACCCAGGATGGAGGAAGAGCAGAGAGACCAACTGATGCTGAATCCTCCCAGAGAAGGAAAACACCACAGAGTGAGTCTCACACGCACCTACGCGCACACACACACGTGCGCGCGCGCACACACGAAGTTCATGTTATTAAACATCAGAATTCCTGAGATTAAAAGCACTTATTTTATATTTCTGTACAAGTTAAATAGATTTTATAAATCTAATTGTCATCTCCAGTGATCAGCTGTAACTACCGAGCAGATCATCTGATGACAGGATCGATCTGATGACAGGATCGATCTGATGACAGGATCGATCTGATGACAGGATCGATCTGATGACAGGATCGATACTTTAGTTTGATCCATTCTGACTTTAAAACAGAAATAATCTCGAATCAACAATTAAATCTGTCTAAATGACGGCCACGCCCCCAAAATCCAACCATCAACCAATCCCAAAGCCTCTCTTTTGGCGCAATGACTCATGGGAGTTTAGACTTAGCTAGCCTAGCTGTGCCACAACGCTAACGCTAACTGGTGAGTAAASAACACAATCAGGAAAAGATTGTGTTTCTGTTGTGTTTGTGTGTCTGTAGTGACGCAGCTAATGTTTCTGACATCATCACCTTTTTAAAAACAAACATTTTTGTTAAATTATGAAAACTTCCACATCCCGCCTCGCTGTTAGCACAGCTAGCATGCTAGTTAGCCGAGTAGCTAATTATTGAAATAGATTATCTGTTACATATTAAATATGATTGTTTTATATAAAGTCAAACAGGACATATTTAATATATTTTACTTTAAAAGTTCATTTCAGTTTGTTCAAAAGTATTTAATGTTTAATGAAACAATAATGTAATCATTGTGTATCAAGCGACAT